ATGATGGTTTGAATTTCTGTGGAATCTGTGGTGATTTCCCCTTTATCATTTTTTATTGCATCTATTTGGTTGTTCTCTCTTTTATTTTTAATCAATCTGGCTAGTGGTTTTTCTATTTTGTTGATCTTTTCCAAAAACCAGCTCTTGGATTTATTGATTGTTTGAAGGGTTTTTCGTGTCTCTATCTCCTTCAGTTCTACTCTGATCTTAGTTATTTCTTTTCTTCTGCTACGTTTTGAGTTTTTTTGATCTTGCTCCTCTAGCTCTTTCAATTTTGACGATAGGGTGTCAATTTTGGATCTCTCCATTCTCCTCATATGGGCACTTATTGCTATATATTTTCCTCTAGAGACTGCTTTAAATGTGTCCCAGAGATTCTGACATGTTGTGTCTTCGTTCTCATTGGTTTCAAAGAACTTCTTTATTTCTGCCTTCATTTCATTGTTTATCCAGTCAACATTCAAGAGCCAGTTGTTTAGTTTCCATGAAGCTGTGGGGTTCTGGGTTGGTTTCTAAATTCTGAGTTCTAACTTGATTGCACTATGGTCTGAGAGACTGTTATGATTTCAGTTGTTTTGCATTTGCTGAGGAGTGCTTTACTTCCAATTATGTGGTCAATTTTAGAGTAGGTGTGATGTGGTGCTGAGAAGAATGTATATTCTGTGGATTTGGGGTGGGGAGGTCTGTAAATGTCTATCAGGTTTGCTTGTTCCAGGTCTGAGTTCAAGCCCTAGATATCCTTGTTGATTTTCTGTCTGGTTGATCTGTCTAATATTGACAGTGGGGTTTTAAAGTCTGCCACTATTATTGTGTGGGAGTCTAAGTCTCTTTGTAAGTCATTAATAACCTGCCTTATGTATCTGGGTGCTCCTGTATTGGGTCCATATATGTTTAGGATCATTAGCTCTTCTTGTTTTATCAATCCTTTTACCATTATGTAATGGCCTTCTTTGTCTCTTTTGATCTTTGTTGCTTTAAAGTCTATTTTATCAGAGATAAGAATTGCAACTCCAGCTTTTTTTTTTCTCTCCATTTGCTTGGTAAATCTTCCTCCATCCCTTAATTTTGAGCTTTTGTGTATCCTTGCATGTGAGATGGGTTTCCTGGATATAGCACACTGATGGGTTTTGGTTTTTTATCCAATTTGCCAGTCTGTGTCTTTTGATTGGTGCATTTAGTCCATTTACATTTAGGATTAATATTGTTATGTGTGAATCTGATACTGCCATTTTGATGCTAGTTGGCTGTTTTGCCAATTAGTTGATGTAGATTCTTCATTATGTTGATGCTCTTTAGCATTTAGTGCAATATTGGAACTGGTACTGGTTGTTCCTTTCTATGTGTAGTGCCTCTTTCAGGAGCTCTTGTAAAGTAGGCCTGGTGGTGACAAAATCTCTGAGTACTTGCTTGTTCGCAAAGGATTTTATTTTTCCTTCACTTATGAAGCTCAGTTTGGCTGGATATGAAATTCTGGGTTGAAAGTTCTTTTCTTTAAGGATGTTGAATATTGGCCCCCACTCTCTTCTGGCTTGTAGAGTTTCTGCTGAGAGATCTGCTGTGAGTCTGATGGGCTTCCCTTTGTGGGTAACCTGACCTTTCTCTCTGGCTGCCCTTAGCATTTTCTCCTTTATTTCAACCTTGTTGAATCTGACGATTATTTGCCTTGGGGTTGCTCTTCTTGGGAATATTTTTGTGGTGTTCTCTGTATTTCCTGCATTTGATTGTTGGCCTGCCTTGCTAGGTTGGGGAAATTTTTCTGGATAATATCCTGAAGAATATTTTCCAGTTTGGATTCATTCTCTTCATCACATTCTGGTACACCTATCAAACATAGGTTAGGTCTCTTCACATAGTCCCACATTTCTTGGAGACTTTGTTCATTCCTTTTTGCACTTTTTTCTCTAATCTTGGTTTCTCATTTTATTTCATTGAGTTGATCTTCAACTTCTGATATTCTTTCTTCTGGTTGGTCAATTCGGCTGTTGAAACTTATGCATGCTTTGCGAAGTTTTCGTATTGTGTTTTTCAGCTCCTTCAATTCATTCATATTCCTCTCAAAGTTATGCATTCTTGTTATCATTTCCTCGAATCTTTTTTCAAGGTTCTTAGTTTCTTTGTATTGATTTAAAACATGTTCTTTTAGCTCACAAAAGTTTCTCATTATCCACCTTCTGAAGTCTAATTTCATCATTTCATCACAGTCATTCTCCGTCCAGCTTTGTTCCCTTGCTGGTGAGGAGTTTTGGTCCTTTGTAGGAGTCGCGGTGTTCTGGTTTCGGGTGTTTTCCTCCTTTCTGCTCTGATTTCTTCTCATTTTGTGGATTTATCCACCTGTCGTCTGAGTAGTTGCTGACTTTTCGATTGGGTCTCTGAGTGGACGCCCAGATTGTTGATGATGAAGTATTTCTGTTACTTGGTTTTTCTTCTACCAGTCTAGCTTCTCCACTGTATGACTGCTGAGGTCCACCCCAGGCCCTGCTTTTCTGGGGTGCACCTATAGTGGCTGCAAAACAGTGAGGGATGCTACCAGTTTCTTTTTCTGCTATCTTTGTCTCAGAATGATGCCTGCCAAATGTCAGTCTTCTGGATATAGAGGGGTCAGGGAGCTGCTTGAGGTGACAGTCTGTACTTTATAGGATCTCAAGTGCTGATCTGTGAGCTCTGTTGTTCATTCAGGGATGTTAGGCTGCTACATTTAATTCTGCTGTGGCAGAACTCATAAAAAACCCCTTTATGTGTCCGTTGCACTGTCCTGCCCAGCTAGGAGGGAGTCTAGTCACTATTTGCCTGCCGAGGCTCCACCCTGCTGGTGTGAGGTCCGCCCTGTTGCTGCAGGCTCTGCCCTGCTGCTGCGGTTTCTGCCCTGCTGCACAAGCTACACCTTGTGGCAGAGTCTCTCTGTTGTGGCAGGTTTCCTCAGCAATGGCAAGCTGCTTCAGCAGTGGGAGTGTACCTCAGCAGGGGCGGGTTGCCTTGGTAATTGCAAACGCCCCTCCCCCACCGAGCTGCACCATCCTGGGTTCAGCTGTGCCTGCAGTGAAACTCTCCACCCGGAACATTTGGAATCGCTGTTTTGTTTGTCCCACTGCCCTGGCCCAAACGCCGTTTCCCTGGAATCTCCTGGCCTGGCTCACTGTCCAAGTCCCATTCAATCAGATGGATATGCCAATCTGCCCTCACAAGTCTCAGATTGCCGGTTCAACAGGACACCCGGACAAGTGCGCTTTGTGGAGTGCTGTGGAGTGCCGCTGCAGTGCTGGCCGCCAGCTGCACCAGCCAAAACCACTTTGCTGGCGTCCCACATCTCTTTTATACCTGGGAATTTCCCCGTTCTGTGGGCAACAAAGATCTGTCTGGGAATTCGGCCCTGACTCACCCTCCACGCATTTACCAAGAGCTTCAATCCTGGGTTGTTCTCACCGCACCATCTTGAGTTGGTCTCAGAATAACTTAAAGAATGTTAGCAAAGTGCGTGACATAAAACAACAGTGGAAAAAATAAAAAAAAAAATTGAAAAATCATGACAAAGAGAAAAAGATGAGAAGAGTATTGTATCTGATGTACACAAAAATACTAGCGCAAGTCTTATTTTATTCATGCTGTAAGATTTATCTCCCGACATCTACCTGGAAAAACTGGTTGACTTAAATTCAGAGAAAAATTTCCCATGGTATTAGTTTCTACCTTCAAAAGTAGAAGACAAAAAAATTCAAATTCTCAGTCTTCCTCGTGGGTAGGCATATGATTTAGATTCTTCCCTGCACACTGACTATTCTGAGGCTTAGCTGGAGGTGTAAGCAACTCAAGATGCAATGTTTTATGGGGTAGGGGTGTGTTTGTTTACTGAAGATGTGAAAGTGGTGGCATCCATTTACTCATAGGTGACACTGTAGAAGCTTATAGCATTTCATCTAGAGATCATGGTGCCGGGTCATGGTAGCTGTGTGGTTTTTCCATGAGATGCCTTTACAATGGTAGTATTATTCTGGGTAGAATAGAGGCAGACTATGACTCTCTCACAAATCTGGAGTATCTGTGTGCACCTTAATGGTCTTAAAAATTAAATTACTTTTTACTTAAATTGCTGAGCAGATTGTTATTTGCCATGAAGAACTCTGAATAATACACACCCTGAAACAATTGGAGTAAGATGTTCTGTATTAATGAATTATTCTTGATATTTTTGATCTGTCATCTGTTTTTGCCCTAGCAAGTCATTTATTCTGAGTAGCTTTGAGTATATAATGTCATAGCAGAGGGGCAGAGAGAAAAATGCAGTTGAGTTTTAGTCTTTATAGAATTATAGTCATGGTCCTCAGACAAATGGAAAGTAATTGGAGTTTGAGTTAAAGCTCTCCTTTCTGTGATTCTAGAAGTCATTCTCTAAAATTCAGAAAATGGAAAAGACTAAGAAAGGGAGATTAGAGAAGAGAAATCTAGGTGGCCTGGGAATTGGGCAGTAATTACCTAGAGGGTTTATATGGACAGAGAATGTGGAGCCTCTTCTCATATATGCATTCTGCACAGAGGCAACCACTTTCTCTACCAGTGCCCATAGATCATGCAGCCTTCACCCCAATGAGAACTGTTCACTGTCTGTACTTCAAAGCATAGCTAAGTGTCCCAGATCTCCTTCATTTGCAGCCAGGGTGCCATACAAAGGCCACACTTGGCAGGAGAGATGCTCGACTGCACCCCATGGTTTGTTTGGTCTCATCAGATTTTCATCATATTCACAACACTCCAGCCCTATCCTAGGATCATAGTAAATCCCTGAATAAGAGCACAGGACTGAATATACAGAAGGGTGGTGCATATGAGAGAAAAAATCTACCCTGAACGGAAACTGCATAATATCTCATAAAATGCATTCCAGTTGTTAATATCTCTCTTGAGTCCTTGTGCATGATTTCAAATATAGGATTTAAAGATTATATTAAAAGTTAGTCTATAAATACACATGAATTGAATTGCTCTGTCAGTAAAACATAGACCTCATATTGAACCTTCACTTTGCAAACTTTATTGTTCAACAAAAATGCTCACATCATGATTTTGAGTTAAGTTTAATGGCAGTTGTTTGACACACTGGAGTTGCTCATTCACCTTGTTCCTTGGGGAGAGGGAGCTGGGTAGGCAAATTTTGCTCCTTGGACTTTTAGAGTATGTTAAATGTTGGGTCCGATGATGTGTCTCTCATCTTGATATCTTTTTTTTTGAGACCGAGTTTCACTTTTGTTACCCAGGCTGGAGTGCAATGGTGTGATCTTGGCTCACCACAACTTCCGCCTCCTGGGTTCAGGAAATTTTCCTTCCTCAGCCTCCTGAGTAGCTGGGATTACAGGCACGTGCCACCATGCCCAGCTAATTTTTTGTGTTTTTAGTAAAGACGGGGTTTCACAATATTAACCGGCATCGTGTCAATCTCATGTCCTTGAGATCCACCTGCCTCATCTGGATATCTTGTATCTCCTTCTGAAGTCTCTTGCTCTCATTCTGGAACCCCTCTTTGAGAAGGAGTTCCTGTTCCTAAAAGCGAAAGTGGAGAATAAACCCATCCAGTTTAACACACTTTCACCAAATTAGTTCCCCTTTTTGTACTTATATTGATTCTTCAAGAATTTTTGACACTTTTTTTGAAATGCTTTCTTCCCTTACTTTCCATTCTAGCACTCTCTTCTGAGTCTCCAGTACCTGCCAATAATTTTTCTATGATTTCTTTAGCTTCAAAAATGTTGTTGTCCTACAGGTTCTAAAATATTAGTGACCCAACATTTTATTCTTCAGTCCCTTTACCCTTCACACACATGCAACACAGTCTTTCTGGAAAAACTCTTGTTCTTTTCTCTTTTTTCATTTCTGATCTGTATAGTATGGACTCAAATATATATCTAGGAAGATATGAAAGATAGGTGATTTTCAATTGATAGGTTACTACATAACTCAAGACTAAGGTAAGTGTTTGATTGGAGAATTTAGTACGAGTCTCCAAAATTCAGAGGTAACAGAAATAAACTGAGGAGATCAGGGCCTACAGTGGCCCATAGGGTATTTCTGGGCAAACATAAATGTGGAAAAGAGCCCAGAGAACAAGAAAGTATTGGCACCATGGGCACTTAACCAGTGTGTTTAAGTGGGTAGATGGTTAGAAAATCTTTCTTTCTTCTTTTCTTTTCTTTTCTTTTTTTTTTTAGATGGAGTTTCACTTTTGTTACCCAGGCTGGAATGCAATGACATGATCTTGGCTCACTGCAATCACTGTCTCTCAGGTTCAAGTGATTCTTCTGCCTCAGCCTCGTGAGTAGCTGGGATTACAGGCATGCACCCTCACACCCAGCTAGTTTTGTATTTTAAGTAGAGACGTGTTTCCTCCCTGTTGGTCAGGCTGGTCTTGAACTCCCGACCTCATGTGATCCACTCCACACCACTGGCCTCCCAAAGTGCTGGGATTACAGATGTGAGCCATCATGCCTATCCCAGGTAGGGAATCTTTCTGTTCATAACAGTGCTTCTAGACATAAAGTTATAGCAGGCATGACAGAAACAAAATCCCTATGGATCTCTCTTAGTAGGAAAGACTGACGAGATATTTCTCCAGGTAGTCCGATGCAGAAAAGTTACTTATTGCTCATGAAATTATAATTTCTTCATTTGGCAAATGAGAAAATAATAGTTCCTCTGCCATTAGAGGAAAATTTGATCACATAATGTAAAACATGTGTGCAGTGCCTAGTAATGTTTATTTGTGACAGCATAATAAAGTATTCCATGTGAAATTGTCCTGAAAGTAAACAATCTTTATTAACTAGAGATGACTAGCATAAAAACCGGGAATGAAAAATGTAGTAGTGTCTGGGCTAGAAAGTTTTTTGGGAACCATTAGGTTCTCACCCTTACACTTTGTTTTCAATTTGGGGCACCGGAAAAGAAAATTGAGATGATGCAATTGAATACCTTTAATTTACATATGATGGTCTCCTCTTGCTCCGCCATTAACTGGACCTTATCACGCTCCATCTTCTCAGTCAATTGTTTCACATGTTCCTGATAACTCTTCTCTTTCTGTTCCATCATCTGCTTGTACTTCTTTTGTATTTTCTTCAACTTTTTCTTTGCAGCTTCTGCAGATTCAGCCTTTATACGTTGCACTGGGGAAGAAAAATAAGCAGAAAAAAATATGAGTATTCAATTGCAGGTGTTCCCTTTTCCTTTCACTCTTTTTCGTTTGTCTTATTCTCACATTACTGAGAAAACTTCTTGTAATATTGCCCTGGGTAACCAGAAAACCACTGATCATACACATTAGTTAAGAAAACTCTCGTAGAACTATGAATGATACTTGCCATTCTTTCTCTACAATAATACTTCTAAGTGGAGCAATATTGCTAACTAACAGTTTGAGGACTTTCCAACCACCTATAGTGTTTTCAGCTGTTCTCACCTTCAATCGCTTTTTCCTTTTCTGAGAGCAACTGATCAGTTTGTAGAAGTGCATCAGCCACATCCTCCTTGGACTCCAAGTATTTTTTCAGCACTTCTTCAGCCTGGTTATACGGAGTAAGGTAGAATGAAGAAAGGGTGATTATGGGTTAGCACAAAACCCTGCAATACATCTGCTAATTCAATTTAATTTTACCACTCATATAACAATTCACTTTATAATTCAAATAGTATTGAAAATTTAGTAGTTCTGAAATGCAACTCTGGATCTCCCTTCAAACCTGTTCCTTTCCAATCACCGCAATTTTAATAATTAATAACTCTGTTCATCTAACTATATCTTGGTTATCTTTGTTTTCTCACATACCCAGTAAGCAATCATCTGCAAATTCTGTTAGACTTTGCTTCAAAATAAAGTCAGAACCCACCCCTTGTCACCTGCTTCATACAAACACCCTGGTCCAAGACAGCATGACCTCTATGCTGGATCATTGTTAAAGCTTCAGAGTTGGTCTGCTTCCATTCTTTTTTCCCTACAGTCAATTGTCCTCCAAGAAGCCAGAGTTTCACTATATTATTTAAAGAAAAATCATACCACTCTTATACTCAAAGCCCTCTATTGACTTTCTAATTTATCAAAAAAAAAATTAAACTTCTTTCATTGGATTTCAACATACTCCCCAGTCTGGCCTCTCGTCTCTGACCACTCCTCTGAACATACCTCTCACCAATCACTCCTTGATTCATCACCTACCAGCATAATAGCTTTCTTGCTATTCCTAAAAGACAAGCCAATTTATGTATCAGGATCATTTCTGTTATTTGAAATTTTCTTTTCCTAGAGTCCATTTAGCTCACTCTTTAACTTCTTTGAAGATTCTGCTGAAACTTGACTTCATCTGAGAAGCCTTCTGTAAGAACAGACACATAAAATTGGGCTCAAAATGAGATTTGGTGGGGATACAGCCAAACCATATCAGTTGTTTTGAGAAAACTAAAAGAAATTCAAAATAACACAGAGAAGGAATTTAGGATTCTATCAGATAAATTTAACAAACAGATTAAAATACTTTAAAAGAATCAAGCAGAAGTTCTAGAGCTGAAAAATGCAGTTGGTATAGTGAAGATTGCATCAGTCATTTAATAGCAGAATTCTTCCAGCAGAAGAAAGAATCAGTGAACTTGAAGACAGGCTATTTGAAAATACACAGAGGAGACAAAAGAAAAATAATAATAAATAATGAAGCACACCTATAAGATCTAGAAAACAGCCTCAAAAGGACTAATCTAAGTTATTGGACTTGAAGAGAAGCGAGAGAAAGAGATAGAAGGAAAAAGATAATAAAAAAATAATAACAGAGAAAGATATCATTATTCTAGAGAAATATATCAATATCCAAATACAAGTAGGATATAGAACCAAAGAAGATTCAACCCTTGATTGTCAAGATTCACTGGTAATAGTAAGTACACAGAAAAACAGAATAATATGACATTCTAACTGTGGTATGTAAACTTTTTTTATCCTAAGTAAAAAGGCTAAGTGATAAACCAATCAAAATAATAATTAAAACACATTTTAAAACATGCACAGTACAATAAAATATAAATAGAAACAACAAAGTTAAAAAGTGGGGGGATGAAGTTAAGGTGTAGAATTTTTATTCATTTTTTGCTTGTTTGCTTATGCAAATATTGTTATTTGGGCTACAAGATGATATTTGCAAGCCTCTTGGTGACCTCAAACCAGAACACATACAACAGAATCACAAAAAATGAAAACAAGAAACTAAGTCATATCAGCAGAGAAAGTTAATTTCACTAAAAGGAAGACAGGAAAGAAAAAAACAACAGAAGACCACAAAACAACCAGAAAACAAATAACAAAATGGCAAAAGTAAGTCCTTACTTATCAACAGTGAAGTTAAATGTAAAGAGACTAAACTCTCCAATCAGAAGACACAGACTGGCTGAATGGATTGAAAAAACCAAGATCCAGATTCAGTTAAAAGTATTTTCAAGGTTGGATCCAAGGTGGCCAATTAGGAGCAGCTCAGGATTGCAGCTCCTAGTGAAAGCGCAGAGGGTGAGTGGAAACCGCATTTCCCGATGGATTTTTATTGCCCACAGACCAGGAGATTCCCAGGTGGAGGAGCCCCACAGGTCGCCAGCACAGTTGGTTTGGCCGGCATGGCTGCTTTGCTGGTGCTCCAGGGTGGCAGTTCTCCATACAAAATACACGGGTCTGGGCACCATTTTAGCTGTTGATTAGAGCTCTGGGAAGGCAGAGTCACCAATTCATCTAATTAAAAAAAGGACTTAAACAGGGAGTCAGGCCAGGAGATTCCTAGACAAAAAAAATGCTGCGAATCTCAGTGCTGCTGTTTCAGCTGATGCAGTGGGTCACCACACGGGAAATCACACAGATCCCAGCACCTTTTCAAAAGGCAACTGGAATACCTGGGAGAGAGTCGACTGTTCAACTAAGAAAAAAAGACTCTGAGGCAGGGAGCCAGGTGATCAGACTCGGCTGTTCCCACTCTCACAAAAAACAGCAATTGGAAACGCAATGGGTTGAGAGTTTCACAGCAAGCACAGCTGAACCTGGGAAGGTCCAGCTCTGTGGGGGAGGGGCGTCCACCATTACTGAGGCAGTCCAGCACTACAGAGGTAGTTTGCCATTGCTGAGGCAGCCGATCATTGCCAAGGCAACCTGCCATTACAGAGAGAGTCCGCCATTACAGAGATATTCCACCATTACAGAGGCAGTTCTAACTACACCAGTATAAACAGGACTGCAGGGAAGTTCACACGGCAGCTGGGCAGAGCCCACAGCAGCTCAGGAAAGCCTCTGCAGGCAGACAGTGACTAGGCTGGCTCATCGCTGGGCAGGGCAGCCCTGATAAAAAGGCAGCAGCACAATGGAAACTCATAAATAAAGCCCTAACTACCCAGAATGGAGCACCTGGGGAAAAAAAAGGGGGTGTGGGTTTATGAGTTCTGCTGCAGCAGACTTAAACGTACCTGCCCAGCAGCTCTAAATGAACAATGGAGATCACAGCTCAGCACTTGAGCTCCTATAAAGGACAGACTGTCTCCTCAAACAGCTCTCTGACCCCTGTATATCCAGAGTCACCTCATAAAGTAGAGCTCAGACTGACATTTGGTGGGTATCCTTTTGAAACAAAGATAGCAGAATAAGAAACTGGCCAGCAACTCTTACTGTTCTGCAGCCACTACAGGTGATCCCCAGGCAAGCAAGGCCTGGAGTGGACCTCAGCAGTCCTACAGCAGAGGGGTCAGAACGTTAGAAGGAAAGCTAAGAAACAGAAGGAAATAACTTCATCCTCAACAAACTGGACGTCCACTCAGAGACCCAATCTGAAAGTCAACAACTACAAAGATGAGAGGTGGATAAATCCACAAAGATGGGAAGAAACCAGCCCAAAAAGGATGAAAGGACCTGAACACAGAACGCCGCTTCTCCTTCAAGGGATCACGATGCCTCCCCAGCAAGAAAACAAGGCTGGATGGAGAATGAGTGTGATGAATTGACAGAATCAGGCTTCAGAAGGTGGGTAATAAGAAACCTCTGTGAGCTAAGAGAACATATTCTAACCCAGTGCAAAGAAACTAAGAACCTTGAAAAAAGATTTGATGAAATGCTAATAAGAATAGACAACTTAGAGAGGAATATAAGTGAATTGATAGAGCTGAAAAACACAACATGAGAACTTCGCGAAGCATGCACAAGTTTCAACAGCTGAATTTCCCAAGCAGAAGAAAGGATATCAGAGGTCAAAGATCATCACAATGAAATAAAATGAGAAGGCAAGATTAGAGAAAAAAGGGTAAAAAGGAATGAACAAAGTCTTTAAGAAATATGGGACTATGTGAAAAGACCTAATCTACAGTTGATAGGTGTACCTGAATGTGATGGAGAGAATGAATCCAAGTTGGAAAATGCTCTTCAGGTTATCATCCTGGAAAACTTCTTCAACCTAGCAAGGCAGGCCAATATTCAAGTCCAGGAAATACAGAGTATCCCGCAAAGATATTTCTCCACAAGAGCAACCCCAAGGTATGTAATCTTCAGATTCACCAGGGTTGAAATGAAGGAGAACATGCTAAGGGCAGCCAGAGAGAAAGGTTGGGTTACCACAAAGGGAAGCCCATCAGACTCACAGCAGATCTCTCAGCAGAAACCCTGCAAGCCAAAAGAGAGTGGGTGCCAATATTCAATATTCTTAAAGAAAGGAACTTTCAACCCAGAATTTCATATTCAGCCAAACTAAGCTTCATAAGTGAAGGAAAAATAAAATCCTTTGTGAACAAGCAAGTACTCAGTGATTTCATCACCAACAGGTCTGCTTTACAAGAGCTGCTGAAAGAGACATTATACATAGAAAGGAACAACCAGGACCAGCCACTCCAAAAACACACCAAATGGTAAAGAGCATCGAGATGATGAAGAAACTGCATCAACTAATGAGCAAAACAGCCAGCTAGCATCAAAATGGCAGGGTCATATTTATGCATAACAATATTAACCCTAAATGTAAATGGGCTAAATGCCCCAATCAAAGGACACAGACTGGCAAATTGGATAAAAAGCCAAAACCCATTGTTGCACTGTATCCAAGAAGCCCATCTCACATTCAAGTATACACAAAGGCTCAAAATAAAGGGATGGAGGAAGATTTACCAAGCATATGGAGAGCAAAAAAAAAGCAGGAGTTGTGATTCTCGTCTCTGATAAAATAGACTTTAAACCAACAAAGTTAAAAAGAGATGAAGGATATTATATAATGGCAAAAGGATCAATGAAACAAGAAGAGCTAAATATCCTAAATATATATTCACCCAATAAGGAAGCATCCAGATACATAAGGCAAGTTCTTAATGACTTACAAAGAGACTTTGACTCCCACACAATAAGAGTGGAGATTTTAATACCCCTTGTCAATATTAGACAGATCAACCAGACAGAAAATTAACAAGGGTATCCAGGACTTGAACTCACACCTGGAGCAAGCAAACCTAATAGACATTTACAGAACTCTCCACCCCAAATCCACAAAATATACATTCTTCTCAGCACCACATCACACCTACTCTAAAATTGAACACATAATTGGAAGTAAATCACTCCTCAGCAAATGTGAAAGAATGTAAATCATAACAAACAATCTATCAGACCACAGCACAATCAGACTAGAACTCAGAATTCAGAAACTAACTCAGAACCACACAGCTTCATGGAAACTGAACAACTGGCTCTTGAATGTTGACTGGATAAACTGTGAAATGGAGGCAGAAATAAAGCTGTTCTTCAAAACCAACAAGAATGAAGACACAACATACCAGAATCTCTGGGACACATTTAAAGCAGTCTCTAGAGGAAAATATATAGCAATAAATGCCCACGTGAGAAGCAAGGAGAGATCTAAAATTGACACCCCAACAACTCTATGCATATAAACTAGTAAACCTGGAAGAAATGGATAAATTTTTAGACATTTGCATCCTCCCAAGCCTAAACCAGGAAGAAGTCAAAACCCTGAATAGACCAATAACAAGGTCTTAAGTTGAGGCAGCAATTAAGAGCCTACCACACAAACCACATGATTATCTCAACTGATGCGGAGAAGGCCTTTGACAAAATTCAACAGCCCTTCATGCTAAAAACTTTCAATAAACTAGGTATTGATGGAACGTATCTCAAAATAATAAAATCTATTTATGACTAATGAACAGCCAATATCATAGTGAATGGACAAAAACTGGAAGCATTCCCTTTGAAATCTGGCACTAGACAAGGATGTCTGCCTCTTCTCACCACTCCTACTCAATATAGTACTGGAAGTTCTAGTCAGAGCAATCAGGCAAGAAAAAGAAATAAAAAGTATTCAAATAGGAAAGGAGAAAGTCAAATTGTCTTTATTTGCAGATGATGTGATTATATATCTAGAAGACTCCATCATCTAAGCCCCAAATCTCCTGAAACTGATAAGCAACTTCAGCAAAGTCTCGGAATACAAGACCAATGTGCAAAAATCACAAGCATTCCTATGCACCAAGAACAGAGTTAAAGAGAGCCAAATCAAGAACAATCTGCTGTTCACAATTGCTACAAAGAGAATAAAATATCTAGGAATACAACTAACAAGGAACGTAAAGGACCTCTTCAAGGAGAACTACAAGCCACTGCTCAAGGAAATAAGAGAGGACACAAACAGATGGAGAAACATTCCATGTTCGTGTTTAAGAAAAATTAATATCATGAAAATGGCCATACTGCCCAAAGGAATTTACAGATTCAATGCTATCCCCATCAAGCTACCAATGACCTTCTTCACAGAACTGGAAAAAAACACCTTGAACTTCATATGAAACCAAAAGAAAGCTTGCATAGCCAAGTCAATTCTAAGCAAAAAGAACACAGCAGGAGGCATCACACTACCAGACTTCAAACTATACTACAAGGCTACAGCAATCAAAACAGCATGGTACTTGTACCAAAACAGAGATATAGACCAATGGAACAGAATACAGGCCCTGGAGGCAACACAATATATCTACAACCATCTGATCTTTGACAAACCTGACAAAAACAAGCAATGGGGAAAGGATTCCCTGTTTAATAAATGCTGTTGGGAAAATTGGCTAGCCATGTGCAGAAAGTAGAAAATGGACCTCTTCCTGACACCTTACACTAAAATGAACTCCAGATGGATGAAAGACTTAAACATAAGACCTAACACCATAAAAACTCTAGAAAAAAATCTAGGCAAAACCATTCTCTGTAGGCAGCAAGTTCTCTGAAGGCAGACTGTGAATAGGACATAGGCGTAGGCAAGGACTTCATGACCCAAACACCAAAAGCATTGGCAACAAAAGCCAAAATAGACAAATGAGACCTAATCAAACTGCACAGCTTCTGCATAGCACAAAAAACAGTCATTACAGTGAATTGGCAACCAACAGAATGGGAAAAAATTTTGCACTCTACCCATCTGACAAATTGTTGATATCCAGAATTTACAAAGGACGGAAACAGATTTACAAGAAAAAAAGAAACAAGCCCATTCGAAAGTGGGTGAAAGATATGAACAGACACTTTACAAAAGAAGACATACTTGAGGCCAACAATCATATGAAAAAATGCTCATCATCACTGGTCATTAGAGAAATGCAAACCAAAACTACATTGAGATACCATCTCATGCCAGTTAGAATGGCGATCATGAAAAAATCTGGAGACAAAAGATACTGGAGAGGATGCGGAGAAATAGAAACACTTTTGCACTGTTGGTGGGAGTGTAAATTAGTTCAACCATTGTGGAAGACAATGTGGTGATTCTTCAAGGACCTAGAAATAGAAATTCCATTTGACCCAGAATCCCATGACTGGGTCTATATCCAAAGGATTATAAATTGTTCTACTATAAGGACACATGCACACAAATGTTCATTGCAGCACTGTTCACAATAGCAAAGACCTAGAACCAACCCAAATGCCCATTGATGATAGACTGGACAGGGAAAATGTGGCACATATACACCATGGAATATTATGCAGCCATCAAAAACGATGATTTGTGTTCTTTGTAGGGACATAGATGAACCTGGAAACCATCATTCTCAGCAAACTGACATAAGAGCAGAAAATCAGACACCACATGTTCTTGCTCATAGGCAGGTGTTGAACAATGAGAACTCATGGACAAGAGAGGGGAGTATCACATACTGAGTCTGTTTGGGGGATAAAAGGGAGCGACAGTGTGTGGTGGGGAGTTGGGGAGAGAGAGCATGGGGAGAAATGCCAGATATAGGTGAAGGGGAGGAAGGGAGCAAATCAAGCTGCCATGTGTGTACCTATGCAACAACCTTGCATGTTCTTCACATGTACCCCAAAACCTAAAATGCAATAAAAAATAAATAAATAAATAAACCAAGACCTGGGGACTTCCACCACGATGGCCGAATAGCAAGAGATCTGGACTGCAGCTTCCAGCAAATGCAATGCAGAAGGCGAGTGATCTCCACATTTCCAACTGAGGTACCAGGTTAATCTCAATGGGACTGGGTAGACGGTGGGCATAGCACAAGGAGGACAAACCGAAGCAGGACAGGGCACTGCAAGGGGCTGGAGAACTCCCCCTCTTAGCCAAGGGAAGCCATTATGGACTTTTCTGGACACTCTGGCACTCTGGCTCAGATACTGCACTTTTCGCATGGTCTTTACAACCTGCAGATCAGGAGATTCTTGCTGGTGCCTCCAACACCAGTGCCCTTGTTTCCAGCACAAAACTGGGTGGCCATTTTAGCTTCTACCTGAAGGGCCAGTGACACAGAACTGCTCATTACCCTGAAAAAAAGGGGGCAAAAGGCAGGGAGCCAAGTCATCTGGCTCCGCAGCTCCCACCCCTACAAAGGCCAGGAAGCTAAGACCCACTGGCTTGAAATTCTTGCAGCCAGCACAGCAGTGTGAGTTTGACCTGTGACAGTTGAGCTTGGTAGGGGAGGGGTGTCCACCATTACTGAGGTGGTTTAACCTTGCCTGTGTAAACTGGGAAGTCTACACAGCAGCTGGGTGGAGCCTGTGGCAGTTCAGCAAGTTCTCTGTAGGCAGACTGTGAATAGACTCCCTTCTTGCTGGGCAGGGCATCTCTGAAAAAAGGCAGTAGCCCCTCAGGGACTTATAAATAAAGCTCTACCTTCCCAGGACAGAGTAGAAAGAATGAATAAAATAAGTATAGCACCACATACTTGATAGCATAAAACTTGATAACACAGAAGGGTGACTATAGTCGATAATAATTAAATTGTACATGTTAGGATAACTGAAAAAGTATAATTGGATTGTATGCAACACAAAGGATAAATGCCTGAGTGACCAAATACCCCATTTTACATGACATGATTACTATGCATTTCATACTTGTACCAAAACATCTCATGCACTCCATAAATATACATATCTACCATGTACTCACAAAAGCAAAAAAGTAAAAAGCTACAAATTTGGGTTATTAATACATATTTTATATAATTGTTCTTAGTATTAATGAACTAGGCTCTCAGCCCAGTTCCTGGAACACAGGAAGTGTAACATAAATGTTAACTGTTATTACTATTTGTTCATAAGCTATAATTTGCTAATTGCCTGTGTGTACTTTGAGAGAGCTTGGCCCCCTTTTTTTCTCTCTTTTTTTTAACTGCTGTATCCCCAGCAACTTGACAAGTGCCTGGCATACAGTTAGGCTAAAACAAGTATTTGTTGAATGACTGGATGAATAAATAAATGAGTCAATTTGATAAACCTTTTTCGAGGGCTACATCTGCGCTTCTGAGGAGGAAGTTGCTATCTCTCTCATGGTGGGCTCTCTTATTGAATCAGTAAACGGAAAAATGAAAGGCAGAGGCCCTAGGCACCAGTTGCAGTGCCATTTACCTTCTTGCCAGTGGGCTTTGAAAGTATCCCCTCAGCACGTCCCAAGAAATGGTATCTAGTGTGTCGTACCTGTATCCCCTTCCTTGGCACCTGGTAGTACTTATTCTTCAGCTCCTGCTGCTTCTGAAGAAAAAGACGGTAACCTCCTGGTTTAGAAAATGTTCCCTGCTTGACATCTTCTTCTAAAGGGCTAAATATATCCTGAAGTAAAGCCATGCAACAATCTGATGATGCTTTTGAATTCTGCTCACAAAAGTCATCTCGCCTTGCTTCCAGCTGGGCCTGTGAAGTGGCAAAACAGCACAGATGTTTCAGTGAAGCCATGAGGAGGATGTTAACTATGTAGAGACTGGGAAATGCTTCTCCTTGAAGAAACTGTGGCCTCCAAATAGGGCCGTGCTCCTCACCTTGCTGTTAGATCCTAGAATATCCCTAAGTTGTGCTTATTGCAGAAATTTATCTACTTCTCCATTTGTGATTTCCTAAAGCTCCTTTCTTCCAGTTTTCCTGCTTCAGAGAATGAGTCTCAAAGCACACACTATTTCATATGAAACTTTTGTCTTTTCATGTCTCTCATTTGAGGAATAGTTCTGAGCAGAAACACTGGAGTCAGGCAACCTGCCTAGAGTTCCCAGATCCACTATACTGTGGCTTGTGACACACAACTTTTGTGAACTGAGGATTCATGGTCTGTAGGGCAGAGGAGCAATACCCATCTCATCAATTTCCCTGCAGGGTTATATGCGGTGATGTAAGGTGTTTGGCCAAGGGACTTTTTTAGAAGTGCTCAGTAAGGAGTACAGGATTATTTAGTACATTCTTCAATATGAGAATATTTTCTCAACATAGGACAATAAAAGTAATGAAGATTGCACCATAGGTATTGTCAGTATTTAGAAAGTTTCATAAAACACATTTATCTACATTAAATTACTTAAGGTAACATAACTAAGAAACTTTCTTTTTCCTCCTTAGGTTGAAAAGGTGGCAATTGCTGACATCAGCTATCTAGCTTCACCAGAACCTCTGAATGTAACAACTTATCACTTATAAGATCCCGCCTTCCTAGCTAGAGAGAGAACTTTCCCTTATCAAGTGGTCTTTCTTCATGCAAAAATACTTCGTTCACTTGGAATGAGGCAGATGTTAAAACATTCTCTAATAATTTATATAATTAATTTCTCTTTTGTGGCTTTCTGGATATTTTATCATTGGCTTACATTTAAAAAACAACACATTATTAGGGTTGTTTATAAATAATTTAGCTCCCACTGATAATTACCAGGGAACATAAAAACAATGTGTTTTTAATTTAAAATAAAAAAATAACATAGTCTTTAATAATGCTGTTGTACAATCTACTTACTTTCTTAAAATATGGCACCCAGAGAGGAAAAACTAATGAAACTGAGTTTCTGCAAAACTTAGGTGCCATTTTTAAAGGTCTAAGGCTATGCATATTCTAGTCTTTTAATAATTATTTTAAATATGTACACATAACTGAGTGTAACTATTTTGGGGTCTAAAAAGAATTATTCTCCCAAGAAAGGCTCATATATTTCTCCCTCTCATGATGTAGAACACCAAATATACCCCTAATTTCCTCTGGAACTTGTGGTCCACATCCTTGAAAGAGTTCTTCATGAAGACTTCAATGGCCTCTCTCTCACTGTCCCTGTGCAGGTCCAGCAGCTCCTGGAGGGTTTCCGTGGGCAGCTGCACCTTCTGGCTCATCTGCTGGTTATAGTGGGCAACAGCCTTTTCCACTGCAGCTGAGTTCTCTAACTGGGCCAAGGCCCGGACTGCGTTCTCCATGCAGGGCAGATCCCCACTGCTGATAGCACTAATATAGGTCAGCACCAGGCTCTCTAGACCTGCAAAAGGGAAATTTTTAAAAATGTGAATATCACTTGGTGGGACCGAGTATTTTGTGTGCTTTTCAAGTGAGTGTCACAAGAATAGTTTTAAATAATTTTTGGATAAAGAATAGTCATGGAATAGTTTGTTAATCTCTAGTCACAGAGGAAATTAAAGTTACTCTTTCCTAATTCCTTCACCCAAAAGAAGATACTGAAATGAATAGGGTATTTTGTGGCTGATATACTAGGTCAAGGTGTTTTTTTAACTTTCTTTTCTCTCATCTCTCCCTCTATTCCTTTTCTCTTCACTCCTAATTTAGGAAAGAGGTCAATAAGAAAACTTAGCCTTTTTAATTTTCAATAATTTTAGTGGTGCAGGCCACTAGTCCTGTGTCTGGCTTAGGTAAGTATGTCTTCTTACATAGTCTCTCATCAGAACTATATGCAGGGTATAAACTCATTGTGTTTGTAAGGGCTTTGCTGGGTGTTGCACTGAAAGTCTCCCATGCCAGGAAGACCTCATCTCAGGCGAACTGGAGTGGTTGGTCATGAAGAAGAGGTGATTATTTGTGACTAAATCCTGGACCTCGTCATCTCTCTGTAGTTTTAAGTACCATCTGTATGGATGGCTGGTATATTTTGCTTCCTGCCTTGACATTTCTTTTGAGCTTTGGATTAAAAATAAGTTTTGCACCTTATTTTTAATGCACTTTTTATACTCCTTACTGTGTAAAGCAGAAGAAACTCAATATTAAATAATCTAAATATCAAAACTTCATCCACTCTGAAAAACTATTTCTCCTCCTGATCTCATTAAATAACACAGCCATTAAAGCAATTGCTAAACTCAAAACTCTGCAGATAGGCTTGGCATTTCCTTCTTATTCCTTTCACAAATTCATATTCCCTCCATCAACAGGCCTTTTAGATTTAATATCCAAAATATGTTTGGATCTTGTCCATTTTCACCATTTACTGCCATAATCTGAGACTAACCCAATGCCCATTTATCGCTCAGCCACTGCAAATAGCATCCATCCTCTCATTCTCTCCCATTCACCACTCCAACAAATTATCTACAAAATATTCAGAAAGATATGTATAAACGTAAGTTAGATAACTTTACCTAACTGCCAAAAATGCTTCCCTAGAACTTAGACAAACTCTAATCTCCTCAAAGTTCCTTGCCAGTCCTTTCAGGACCTAGCCCGTGTATATTTCTCTAATTATGACACCTCTCTTATTCAGTCTACTCTTGTTCCAATCAGCTGTCTTTCTTCTATTTTCATTAAAAGAAATTGAAATGGAATATTGCTGTCACCCAAGCTGAAGTGCAGGGCATAATCATAGCTCACCATAGCTTTGAACTCCTGGGCTCATGCTAGGTCCTCCTGCCTTAGCCTCCTGAGTAGCTAGGACTCCACGCATGCACCATGCATTTGGCTGATTTTTAATTTTTTCATGATAATAGTGTCTTGCCTTGGCCAGGGTGGTCTGAAACTGCAAAGTTCAAGGAATTCTCCCACTTTGGCCTCCCAAAGTGCTGGGATTACAGGCTTGAATCATCGTGCCATGCCCCTGTCTTCTATTTTCTTGAAGCTGCAAAGGTCTTTCCTGCCCTGGGTATTTCCATATGACATTATTTTTGCTGTAAAGCTATTTCTCTATGTGCTTTGGTTAGCTCTCAATCATTTATTTTATATATATTTATATATGTATGCATGTATTTGAGACAGGGTTTCACTCTGTCTCCCAGGGTGGAGTGCAGTGGTGTAGCCTCGGTTCACTGCAACTTCTGTCTCCCAGGCTCAAGTGATCCTTCCTACCCAGCCTCCTGAGTAGCTGGGATTACAGGTGTGAGCCACAATGCTGGGTTAGTTTTTGTATTTTTAACATAGACAGGGTTTCACCATGTTGCCCAGCTGGTCTCAAATTGCTGAGCTCAAAGTGATTCACTCACCTCAGTCTCCCAAAGTGCTGGGATTATAGGCATTGGCCACCACAGTCAACCAAATCAATCATTTTTAAGTTCTCATCTTACATATGATGTTCACAGACAAGCATTCTCTCACAGTCTAAATTATATCTCCCTGCCCCTCCCTTTAGTCTTTCATAGAAGCCTACTATTTTATGCATTATGTTAATCACTATTTATCATTATAAGTTTTGTTTTACTTTTTACAGAAGTTTCTTTTGCTCCTATTATGCCAGAATGAGGATGAAAGTCACATTTCTTTTATCCATCATTATACCCAGTGGTTGGTACATTACATTACAGGCATTCCCTAAATATTTCTGAATTGCTGAACAAGAGAATTGTACTGCAATTAGCGGCAAAATCTAACTTGCATATAGTATTTGCTTTTTTTCTTTGTTGCTCAGTATATATATTCTGAGTTTATTTTATTAAGAGGGAGCTGAGAAGTTGCTGGAGAAGTTGACCATAGCAGAATTAGATTCTAGTTCTTTTCTTTATTCTCCTTGCAAGGAAATAAGACCATACTATAGTTTTAGTTTTCATGTAAAATTTATGATATGACCTTCGTGTTGTGTTTTCCTTGACATCGATAGACTATGAGTTTGTCAGAAGTGACCCTTATGCATTCCATTTTATCCTCTACAATGAGTGGTAGGAAGTCGGTAGAGAGAGTCACTCACGAGGCCCATTGACTGTGATGCCACCTGAGAGAGTCTTGACATTAGAATGGCTGAGGATGTAGGAACAAAATTCTGCAACTTGTTCTATGAAATCAGGGTTTAGATCTTCCTCCTTCAACTGCTCCAAATGGGCAAGGTTCTTCCTCCAAGCGGGCCGATCAAAGATGAAGCACTTCCTCTTGGGGAAGAACTTTCGAATGCACAAACGAGGATCATTAAAGCTTTTACTTTTTATATCAGCACCTATAGGAGTGAAAATTAGAGGTAATAAAATTTCAGATTAATTACTTTGAATATAATCTTTCAATTTCATAATTTTCACAAAGCCCACATAAGGAGGAAATTAATGAGGAAGGAAGAATAAACAATTAAAAAGACAGAGAAAGGAAAGTCTCAAAGAAGAGATAGGTAATGCATTTAAAGTTGGTTCCAAATGATATAGTCAAGCAGTATTTCCATTTCCTTTAGCAGAACAGTCAGGAAAACACAGTTAAAAATTATAATTTGTATACACAGAAATGGCCATTTTGATATTATCTGCTCTCTACATATTAACCCACCAACCATTAGACCCAGAAACCTTTTCTTAGCTTCAGCGAAAGCTCCAGGTAGTCATCGGGAGTGATGGGTTCTTCATCGGTTTTCAGCTCCAGGGAGAAATCCCTAAGAGCCCACACAAATGCTGGAAAAAAGCTCACAAAGTCAGCTGAGTCTTCTACATAATTGTTATCAGGTGAGGAGCTTGCCTTGATTCGATCTGTCAGCTCTGTCACATAACTGAGACGCTAAGTTAAGAAAATTACAGAAAATGCCACTTTTTATACTACATTTTATCCTAATGCTTAACTAAAATAATTCAGTGTCTTTTGATTAGCTCATTCATTCACAAACTTTTATTTACAGAATTCATTCACTCACAAACACTTTTTGAGCACCTACTATGAAACAAGCACTGTCCTAGGGACTAAGAATACTGTAATGAATAAGACAATGCTACCATTATAGAGCTTACATTCTAATCATGGAAACAAACAATGAACAAGTAAATAAAAATATAATATATTATCAGGCATTGATAACAATTGTCTTGAAGAAAAACAAACTGGGCAACTAGCTCCTAGTGTATCTTTTGGAACTAGCAACCAATAGACACTCATCTAACACTCTGGTACCTCCCAAATCTACCAATAGGGAAAGTAGAGAATAACCATGTGTATCTGCATGTGGTGCTGATTTATATAGTTTTCCAGGTAAATTACCTCTGACATTGTAGTTGAGCAGTGATCTGAATGAATTGAAGGAGCCAGTCATATAGAAATCCACTGGAGGAGCATTGCAGACAGAGATCACAGAACCTGCAAGCCCCTAGATAGGAAATCACTGAGTGTGTCCAACATATATCAAGAAGTCTAGTGTGGTAGGGCAGAAGCCTTAAAATAAATAGAGCTTGGGATATATAAGCTCTGTAAACCAAAGTAAGAAGTTTGAAATTGAATAGAAAGTTAATAGAAAGTCATTGGTGGGTTTTAAGTGAAGAGAGGATATAGTATGATATTTTTTAACACAAATCATACTGGCTGGCATTGCCTCTGTGAGTCAAATGCATATGCAAAACAAAACAAAACAAAACAAAAACCAATTAGGTAGTTGAAAAGATAACCAAGATGAGAGGCAATGAAAACTTAGAGTTATCACGAAAGAAGTAGTGAGAATTAGCCAGTCTAAGAAAATAATTTTGATAGTGAAGCTGAAAGAATTTGATGATTAATAATTTCCAGGACATAAGGAAAGGAATCATCCAAGATGATTCCTAAATTTTTGATCTGAGCACTTCTATGAATGATGTGGGAATTTATAGTGGTTGGCATAGTCAAAGGGTATATGTATTAAAGAAGCTTCTCTTTTTAATGGTAAAGGAATGAGAAGGAGTCCATAACTCTAACATGGAGGAAGAAGGACACCTAACTCATCTCTTACACTTACGATATGCAAGGTATGATATAAAAAATAATTATCACACAAAACCACTGGAGAGGTCTGTAGCAGAAATAGTATCTATAATGTATAGCTAGGTATCAGTTAGAAGGCAAAACTTAGAGCAGTTGATAAGAATATAGAGAATTGCAAAAGTAAGACCATGAGTTCTTGAGGACCTTGAGGGTTTGGACAGGGATAGGAGAAAGTCAGATAGATGATATATAGAGTCTTGGGTGGCTGAGTGTCTAAGGATATATGTAACCAGGATATATGTAACCAGGATATATGAGATTTTCAGCATAATGAGATTTACTAAAGAGGGACTTATGAATTCTTCAGTACCTGTTTGCCTGTGTACCTGGTGAAAAAATGAAGCTGTTATTTTCTAGGTTTAATGCTGTTCTGGACCACAAAAAAAAGATACTGCAATTGGTCCATGGCCTGCTGGTTGATGGTTCCCAGGCTATTGTACACGAAGGTGCTGCTCAGGAGGATGGCCAGGGCGAAGATCCAGGAGTCATTCTCATTGTCACCCTGTAAGTTATGGTAGAAGCCACACCGAAGAGTGACTAGCAGAAGGTACAATCAATTCAGATAGCTGAAGGCTGACTGAACTCCAACTCTGTCTCTTACTAGTTGTGAAAACTTAGGTAACTCACTTCGTTATGCAGTATTTTTCCATTTGTAGAGCAAATGTATACTTTAAGGTATTATATATAAATGTATTTGTTAGTGGAAAACACATGAGCACTTGTTAGTAGAAGCTATTTTGATCAGCTACTAAAATGCAAACTGGTTTCCTAAACTTAGTTTATGACTCTATTCCACTTCCATGGCACATCATGGTAAGAGATACACAGTAGTTAAGATAGGCTCCTTCAATAACAGCTTTCTATGTCTAAGATTTATAAGAGTAGTAATATATTATCCTTAATGAACAAACATGTTATCATTAGATTTTACACTTTGCTCCTCTTTCTACTGGTGCCACTGTAGATGTGAAAATTTTTACCATCTTTATGGGTTCCCACTGTAATAAATCAGACATGTTTTTAAAATGTCTACTGAAGTTTATAAGTACCTTCAACAACCTTACCAAAACATTTCACTATAATATGAAAAAAAATGACTGAAAACATTAGCCATGATTTTATAGGTTTACCAAAAATTAATCATTTGAACTTACTGTATACTCTGAATGCTTATTCCACATCAATTAAAAAAGAATTTATTAATGTAATTAACTAGAGTCCTAAATCAAGGAGGAGGAGTGATAGTGCAACGAGGTTATTGATCTGATCTTGCTTATGTAGATTTTAATCTACCTAAGTGAAATGTTAAAAATGTTTATCTTTTTACCTTCTCTATATCTCCAAGGCCCTCAGTGTCGAGCAGAACTAGGGTGTGTCCTGGCTTCTTGGGATGAGGCACGCACCACATCCAGATTCCTTTGGTGTGGGATTTCACTGTGGATCCCAGAGAAAAGCCTGCAAAAGGAGGAGAGGATAAAAGGGAGAAGAGATTAATTGGTAGGTGTTTCTGGAAATTGAGATAAAAGTTAACATAATCAAAGGTAAAAGAGATAAAAGAAAATACAACTGGCATAAATCTTAATGACAATCCAGTAAATAGGAAAGTTGTATATCTAATCCACAGTGAAACATTCATTTTTCCTTAAAGTTCATTGGAAGCTTGCTGTCACTACAAAAACATTTTAAAAAATGTTTTATAAGTATTATTATGGAAGTTAACTTTATTTAATAACATATTCCTTCCAGAAAGGCACATTTACACTCTCAGATGGGAAAATAAAAGTAAAGTGGGACGAAAGGGTCAGCTGACTGAAATCCTCCAAAGTCAATGTAAAGAGCCCATTCATGGATTAAAAGTTAGCTTTCAATATTCATTCTCATCTCTAACTTTCTGTTCTCACCTTCCAAGTCTGGATGCTCGCAGTGTGTACAGACAGGAGGGACTTGGCAGAGCTTTGCTGGTGTCACTCACCTTTGTTCTTCCCAGCCAGCCTGTTCATCAGGTAGGATTTGCCTGTGCGGTAGAGGCCCACAATCGCCACCACCACCACAGGCTGCGTAACTGCAGACAGGATCTTCAGAGCTTCTGGATTCACCACCAGTTGCCCTTCGGTGTTGTCAATGAGGCTCACTGGGCCTGTCATGTGAATCTCTGCAGCCATGTCCAGGGTGTTGTTCCCTTCTGTGCAAGGAAAAAGATGAAATGGAAAGCAATTTCTAGGTAGCTAGCCATGCTGAGCTTTACAATATGGATTACATTTTTTATTTCTATGCATGAACTTTTTTTCATATACATTTTTTAAAGCCCTGTTTCTCTTTAAGTCTGTCCTACAAATTGGTCCACTGGCTTTCTTTTTAATTAATTAATTTATTTGTATTTTTATTGCATTTTAGGTTTTGGGGTACATGTGCAGAACATGCAAGATAGTTTGAAACAGACTTACAGAAAAGATGTACAATGGGTATGAAAAGTTCCCGTATATCATTTTCTCTAATGTTAAAATTTTACATAACCATAGAACTAGGATTTTAACATTAAAACAATGATGACTAACCTACACTCCTTATTGTCATTTCACCTGTTTCCAACTAATGTCCTTCCACTCCATGATCAGTCCAGGATTGTTCATTGCATTTGGTCCTTATGTTTCTGTATTTTCTTTGCATCTTTGATAGTTTCTCATTCTTTCTTTGTCTTTCATGTCTTTGACAGTTTAGAAGTTGACCAGCCTGTGATTTTGTAGAATATTCATCCCTCAATTTTTTTGATGTTTCTTTATTACTAGATTGAAGTTATGCATTTTATTTTGCAAATGTCACTGAAGTGATGTTCTACCATTTTCAGAGTCTCCTATTAAGGGATTCACGATGTTCACATGACTTTTTCTAATGCTGTGACCTTAACTTTGATCATTTGGTTAAGGTGGTCTCTGCCAGATTTCTCCACCACAAAGTGTTATGTACCATTTTGTCACTAAAAAACACCATTTGGAGAGACACTTTGAAGACCATGCAAATCAAGTTTCATCATACTTTCCTAATTTTTCAGTCACTGTTTTTTGCATCCATTGATAATTGTTGCTTATAACTTAGTGTTGTGTTGGACTGAAGGTAATTTTTTATTCTCATCATTCCTTCTACATTTATTAGAGTTTTAATGTGAGCAAGAACTGCCCTTTCTCCTTCATTTGTTTTATTTACTTATTTAATCATTTAGTTGTATCAGTGTAGACCTACAGATATTTATCTTATCATCCGGGTAACACTGTATTATCATTATTTATCTCATTGCTCAACTCCCCAGATTAGTTCACTGACAGCTGCTTCAAGCTAGAGCTCAAATTCTTTGGACATGCTCCCATGATATTTTCACTGCTTCTTTCCTTGTGGCAGGCTTATCTAATATCTGCTTCAGCCTTAGAATCGACCATTTCTCCTAAAGGCTCTGGTTGCTTTCATTGGATACTGGTACCTAGACACCAAGATGTCACACTAGGTGTAGTCATTACTTCCAGTCATTACTTTCTCACAGGGAAAATCAAGGAATCTGTGTTTGTATACTAGCACATGAACACAAACATCTACATTTATTTCTTATCTGTCCATTTCTACATATAAGCTTAAGTTTCTTTTGATATTTCTAATTCCAATTCAACAAAACAAAATTTATTCATACTTTCCCTCCTTGTTTTTAAAGCTTTTTCTCTGAGTATGTCATTACATATAATAAATTATTTGCTCAATTCTACTACATACAATTAAAGTTACTAACTCATAAGTCTTTGTAACATAAATTTGCTAACTAGAGTGCACTATTACTTAACAGTTCTGTTTGTCTTTGGTCTTACACATACAGTCAAAATACTGTATTCCAAAGTTGCTTAGACTACCTTTTCCTTCTCTATTCTCTTTGGCATGGTTAAATCATTTATTTGTACTATAGTTAGGTTTGTTTGTTGGTTCATTTTAAGTATGTATGTATTTATTTTGGGTATGTGAAATATCACAGTTATGAAAGTCAGAGCTTTACAACAAGCTGTAGTCAGAGAAGTGTCACTTTTCCTTCATCTTAGCACTGCATTCCCATTCCAGCTGTCTTTCTATTCTTTCCACCTCAGGCCCACTCATCCTCCACAGATATTCAGTCTTGTTAGTTTATAGTTTACCTTTCTTGGACATTCTTTTCATTAATGAGCATACAAATGTATGTTTTCTTATTCACATTTTCTATCATAAAGATCACATCATGCAGAAATATGGAAATCTCTCCATACCAGTTCATAGGAAGATCTCTCAGTTCCTTTTACAGGCATCTATTCCATTTATGTGAACATACCACAGCTTATTCAACCATTCTTTTATGTATAGACATTTAGATAGTTTCAGATATTTAGCAGTTACAAACAATGCTGCAATGAAAACCTCTGCTAACCTTGTGAGGGTGTATTTTTATACTGTTATAGGAGTTGCTTTAGGATGGTGTCCTATAAGTGAGATTTCTGGGTCAAAAGGTAAGAGCATTTTATTCTGTTTGATTTTGCCAAGCTTTACTCCAGAAAGATGTATCAGATTGAATTCCCACCAGATCTTCTTGTATCTCATTGTTCAGAAAATGAATTTTTTTTTAGGTATGTCACATTTTCTGACTTAATTACAAAATTTCCTTTGGTAACTTTTCACATTCACATTTAGATCTTTGGACTGAGCTCGCTGAACTCATGCATACAGTAATAGGAACCTTCACCTGAGGAATCTTGTATTGTACACATCTCCATACTTTGAAACAAAGATTTTATTCTCACCTAGCCTTGGTCTGGATTTCTTCCAGCCATTCTGGTCAGACTGTGAGATTCAGGCTACCCAATGGCTCCTTCCTCTCACTATACACGAAGCCCCTTGAGTCACCATAGCCCATCACTTGTTCTTAATATTTTCTGTGAATCAGCATTTACCTGTTACTCACTCAAGCTTCATATCTGGCATCTGACATATAGAAAATCAACAGATTTTGTTACCAGAGTTTGACCTTTCTGTGCTTTATGATTGATTCTCTATTACTTGCATGTATATCAGTTTGCATATTGCTTTCAATTATTTCAGGTAATGAAGCCAGCATCAGGAAACATTCCCTGATGAACCAGGGCTTGTTTTTTGTGTGACTTCTGCTTCACGTAGAGCAGTATGTACACAATTGTAGGCATATCCTGTTTAACCAGGCCTTGATAATTTGATAATTTACTAAGGAGTTCTCTCATAGTTCTGGTGGCTGGGAAGTCGAATCTCAAAGTGCTAACAGGTTTGGTGTCTTGGGAGAGCCTGGTCTCTGCTTCCAAGATGGTGCCTTGGAGCCTTCATCCTCCAGAGTGACTCACTCTCAGAAACTCTTTTTATAGTCATTAATCCGTTCATGAGTGCTCTGCCCACTTGGCCCCATCTTCCAACCCTGTTACACTGTTTGGAATTAACTTTCAACATGAGTTTTGGAGGGGACAAAAATATCCAAACCATGACATATTTTTGGAAATTAAAAGTACAGTATATAACTAAAATTCAATAGAAAGTTCATAAGATAAAGATGAGAAAATCTTTCTGAAAGCAAAAAAAAAAAAAAAACACCTTAAAATCAAGATGAAATAAATGAGAGAAAATACAATATAATTATGTTGCTTCCCCTTAACAGATTCTACATTTGAATAAAATGAATTCCAGAGAAGAATGGAAGTTACTAGGAAGAACATAGAAGCTGAATTAGTAACAAATAGAAAACTAAACAAAAAGGAGGAAAGCATTACTTTAGGAAAAAAAAATTGTTCAAGAAAGGAAAAGTAAAGAGAGTGTATCTATATCGTTCATATCTATAGTGTCAATGCTCTAAGTAACATTGGAATTGTCATACTAATGAAAACACTGAGCATTAATCTAAATAGAAGTATGACATAATTCTATCGAGGGGATCATGGGACAGAGTTTGTGTGAATGTGGGTGGTAGTAATAGTGGTGAGGTGGTGTGTGATAAAGGAATTGGAGATGATGAGTACGACTTAAATCCTTATTTTCCCTATATGATACCTCAAATTGGAAATTCAAAAGTTAGGAAACACAAGGTTGTTATTTTTATGTGTGGAGGTAAATAACAAAGAAACAGCTAAAATAATTAAAAGTGGTTGCTATTGAAAAAGAGAAGAGGTAAAGGTGGGGGGTTTACTAGGAGGATTTCTTTTTGGAATAAGTCTCAGAATTGTTTGAGTCTATAAATTATGTGAAAATCTAATTTTGAAGAAAATAAAAACAAAAGTTGACAAGAAAAATTAAATAAGTAAATAAAAATAAAACGAGTGAAAAGCCTTCCTGTAGTAACATCTTAATTTTTGTTTTTACCTTGAATATCTCAATCCCTGTAATTTAAAATGATTGTGATATAAAATGCCTAATTTCTATAACATATAGTCATAGACTATAAGCATTACAGTTTTCCTTTTTATCCTATAATAAAGAGTGCTTTGTTTATAATATGGAGTTGATTACTTCTGACTTGCTCTACTGAAGTCTTATATCTAATTATCTACTTCCCATCTCTTCAGGGGACAATGGCAAAAAAAGCCATTTATTTTTCTGTGATCAGGACCCATTTTCTCTTACAGCAATGGCCCACAGAGACCTCTGGAAAGACTTCTGTTTTATTTTGTAGCACGATGTATACTACCTTAAAATCAATGACTGACTCAGAAAAGTAGGTGTACAAAGATTGTATAAGTTCCGCAATTATAATAACTTGTTCCCCACGTTTACACTGTTGGTGGGAGTGTAAATTAGTTCAACCATATTGGAAGACAGTTTGGCAATTCCTCAAGGATCTAGAAATAGAAATTCCATTTGACTCAGCAATCCTATTACTGGGTACATAACCAAACGATTCTAAATCATTTTGTCATAAAGACACATGCACACGTATGTTCATTGTGGCGCTGTTTAGGATAGCAAAGGCCTGGAACCAACCCAAATGCCCATTGATGATAGAGTGGACAAAAAAAAAATGTGGCACATATACACCATGGAATACTATGCAGCCATAAAAAACGATGAGTTGGTGTCCTTTGTAGAGACATGGATGAACCTAGAAACCATAATTCTCAGCAAACTGACACAAGAACAGAAAACCAAACATCACATGTTTTCACTCATAGGCAGGTGATGAACAATGAGAACACTTGGAGACAGGGACAGGAACAATGTTTACAGGGCTAGCTGGTGGGGGTGGAAAGGAGGGGAGGGGAGGGGGGACCGAGGGGCTCAGGGGCAGGGAGAAGGGAGAGGTATAATACCAGGAGAAATGCCTGATTTAGGCAATGAGTGGGGGGTCAGGGATGGAGACAGCAAACCACCATGGCATGTGTGTACTTATGCAACAATCCTGCAGAATGCAGGATGTGCACATGTACCCCAGATCCCAAATACAATTAAAAAAAAAAAGAAATAAAGGGCTGATGAACTAGCTGGTGGAAAATGCAGCGCTTTGTAAGCATTATGTTCTTTCAACCATTTAAGAGGAATAACAGTAACATCTACTCTGTCTCCTACAAAAACAGTAACAAAAACTTGTTCCCTCTCTTTGCAGACCCCAAGTTGCCTACCTTCATTTACCTAGAGCCATAAAAGTGGCAAAGTGAATGTGATGGAGTCCTAACTTTATTCAGCAGATACTGATAATGATAAAGTCAACATAAGATGATGTCAAAAAAGAAATAACAATTTGGAAACATTCCCATCTACGGAGGGACCATTCCCTCCATAAGTAGTCTGATCATTCCTATGGTGGGAATGGTCAGTTTGGATAAAACTGATGAACCCTGGTAAATAGATTCCCAACCCGTCCCAGTCTTACCTAAATCAGAAATCCTTTAGAGTTGGAAAGAAGGTTGTTTCAATGTGAAAGTTGATTCTTATCCTCCTCTCTTTTCTTCTAGTGTGGTGGCACTGCTTTCTCCGTCTTTTTTTCTCTCAGTAACTGTGAACTTTTACTTGGCTCCTCCAATGTCTGGGGCTTCCCAGATTTTCTTCAGAGACCTGGTGGAAGACAAGAAAAAGAGGCAACCTCTGCAAAGGAATGAACTAATATGAAACAGAAAGTATTAACTAAAGCAGTGACTCATTAGCCGTAAAAGGAATTCCTGGCAGCTGTGCTAGTAAGAGGGTTTGTCATGATTTCTCAACTGGGAAGTTGCCATTTAGTTATTGGAAAAGATCTTAGAGACTGCTTGCAGTATTAATTTTTTAAAATTCCTTCATTGGGTCATTTAAAATAGTGCTATTTATCTCATGTTTGTGGGCCAGTTTGAGAAGCATGTGGATGAGAAAGCCTCATATAATATATTTTTTAGGTCCAATTACCTTGGATATTAGCTTGAGCACTGTAAGTGCCCTGAGGGAATATCTATGTCTTATATACTTTTGGATTATTAGCACCTAACCCAGGTCCTGATGCTTAACATTTAATGAATAATAAATAATGATGAAGGTAACTCATTTATTACACACTTGATACAGACACAGTGCTAGCATCTTTATGTAGATCATACCATTGTATTTTTATTTTGTATTTATCTCTTTTTTAGAGACAAGTTCTTGCTCTGTTGCCCAAGCTGGAATGCAATGGCATAATCACAGTTCACTGTAACGTCAAACTTCTGGGCTTAAGTGATTTTTTTTCCTCGGGCTCCGAGTAGGTGAAATTACAAGTGAGGCATTATGCCAGCGTGTGTGTGTGTGTGTGTGTGTGTGTGTGTGTGTGTGTGTGGAAAGTGAAAGTAGAGCAGGGTTACTTCAAAATAGAAGCAATGCTAGGAAATCAGCTGCTTCTTTTCTGCTTAACAACAAAATCTGTCTTTTGTATCAGGGAACCAAAAAATAGCTCCAGGGACAACTGAATCTTTGTGAATTATGTATAGTTTAAGAGTAAATGAGGAGGGTGGAGAGGGAGGGTGGGGTGGGGAGGGATAACATGGGGAGAAATGCCAGATATAGTATGTACCTAAAGCAAAATAATAAAAAAAGAGTAAATGCAGATGAATACTTGTTTATTAGCTGAAAGAGCCCATTTTTTCTTAGTTTCTGGTACTTCCTTCACTATGTTAAACATTGTAACTGCCCTGTGAGCCAAAGGCAGTAACTTCATTCTGGGGTGATTATCATAGGTGAGAAGCTTGAGGAACACAGGGCCATGAGGTGTCCAGTCCCTCAGAGAGAACAGAGTAGATCTAGACAAGTGTGTATGTTCTTTCTAATTCAGTGACTCCCTTCTGCACCGGTTTCTAAGATTGTGTCCTTTATTTGAGAGCTCTAGAAATTGGGAATACAGTTAACATATGGCAAATTGGGGATGTATTGGAGGGTAGCTTATGTATTTGGCCCACACCTCAGCTTATGTGGTGAGTTTTGTGCTGGGAACTAAAGACAAGTTGAAGAAGACCTGGCATCTGAGACCAAAGGTGGTAGACAGAAGTAAATAGTCACTTTTAATATTACATCTATATGGCATCTTCAATGGTAGGAGTGACAAGATGGTGACATGGCAACACTGAGAAGGGCATCTCATTTAGCCTTGGAAAGTCAGGAAGTAGGACACTTTAAGGATGAATAGGGGTTGAGAGATAACAGATAAAGGGTGAGGAAACAAGGTTTTAAGAAGCCTGTGTCCCGTGTGCACAGGCTCTCAGTCAAAGGAATAGGCCCAGCTTATGGAACTACAAGGAGTTCATTCGAGTTCTTCAAGCACTGGGCACTAGAGAGCCAATACGAATTCCTAAAATGCTGAGCTGAACAAAAAATTTCTTTCTATTTCATCGTCTTTATAAATGCGAGACAGCATTTTGAGACCTTTCCAAGCAACAGCCCAGGGGTCTTTGTATCTGAAAATATACTTTGGAATAAACTTTGAAATCTTTATTGAAAGGTCATAATAAAAACAAATTAGGATGCATGTCTTGTGCCCTTTTTAGTTCCTTGTTCTGATGAGCCGGCTTTTCCTGTTGAGCTGACTTATGCTATTTCCAGTGGTATAAATAACTTTCTTCCTATAATGGGAACTCTCCCATTCATTTATTACTGTTTCCTTTTTAATTTCAATCATTGTTTTATCCATGTTTAAAGACATAATAATAAGTTCATATAAAATATTAAAGACACAGAAGATCACAAAGTATGATTTTTTTTTTTTTTGGTGGGTTAGCATATGAAAGTGTTTTCGGCTCCCTGAGAGACTGGATAAAGGTGGAAGCCATGTGCTTGTGGTGTTGGTAGAGGTGCTACAATCGAATGTACTTTATTATGGTGCTAAAGTCACCCTAGTTAATGCTGTCTGCATGAAGAGGACAAATGTATAGAAGGACTTAGAGAGGGACAAAACCATATTGACAAAAGAGTGAAAGACTTCTGGAGTGCACGAATCAGAGGAGCTTTTTTTTCTGGCTTCATAATGCCTTGGAAGAGGAAAGAACAAGAGATTTTCATAAGAGTTTGCTTGATCACAAAATGTTGAAAAAATTAGATCAAAGATCAAATCCATGCTGTGGCAGTAATTCTTTGTAACTAAATAGGGCTCCCTATTTGGAATACAAGAAAATAAGACTTTGTAAATAGTATAAAATCCTTTAGTAGATCCTATTTTTTCAATTAGGTATATTATATTTGTCTTCATCTTGACAACTATATGTTTGTTTTGCTTTTGATATGTCTTGCAACTCAGTTTAAGAGTTATTCTTCCATTCCTTGATATTAAAGTCTATGTAGTGGAATTGGAGTTATGAAATCCAAGCTGAGGCCATAACTTGGTAGCCTAACCAATGACCTTGGACAAACAGATTAATTTCACTATCTTGCTTTTATTATCCACAAACTGAAGATAATAACATTTGTCCTTCAAGGTTGTAGTAAAAACCAAATGAAATCCATAATTGTTGACCTAAAGCACTCAACAAGGGCAATAAATATAACATTAATGCAATAAATCTTTATAAAAAATAGAGGAACAGAAGAATATATGATGTGAAATCAGTTATCTTCTCATTTGTTGCCTCAACTATTCAAGTTCATTCCTGCTATGACCATGTATACTAGATTGTTTTCTGTTTTTCCAGAAGGAGATAATAATATACGCACAAGTTCATTATTTTCTAAATTCAGTGGTAGTAATTATACACGGTTCCTGAATCATTTTTTTACTTATAATGCATTTTGTAGACTTTTCATATTAGTTCAAATAGAGCCTCTCCCTTCATTTTAGTGGCTGTAGAGTATTCCAAGAATTTCCCAAGATTTTCCTTATCAGTACTTGAAAGAGGGAATTTAATGTTTTTTTCAGTCTTTTGGCATTACGACAATGGTGCAACATATATACTATTATATACACCATTTTCAGTTTGAGTAAATCAATCTCTTTGATAGATTTCTAAATGTGGAAATGCTAGATCAAATGTATGTGAACTTAAACAACTCATATATGATTCCAACAGTTCACACTCTCACTACCAAATATGAGACACTGACAATATCCCCAAACCCTTGCCAGCTCAGTGCCCTGTCAAACTGTTCTTTCTTGTGCATCAAAAATTGAAGCGAGAACCTCATAGTTTTTCTTTGCACAACTTTTATTGTCAGTGAAATTAGCATTATTATCACATTTTTGCCTGTTTAAGATATGTGGTGTTACTCTCTTCTCACTGATTTACAAGAGCTAATTATAACAAATTATCTCCGTGACTATAATAAAAATTGAAAATGATTTCTTCATCTTACTGTTTGCCTTTTTGCTTTACTTAAATCTTTTCTAGGAATAATTTTATCTTCCAACTTGTCCCCCATTTCTATAAATTATTAATCAGTCAAATTTAAGTTTGTTTTTATGGACTTCAGGCCATATTCTTTGAAATTTGCTTTTAAATTTTAAACTTTTCTTAAATGAAAATGCAGCAACACATATACTTTCAAAAGGAGCAACAGTGTTATGCCATTTTAACAAAAGAAACCTTATTTTATAATTTTCTTAGCAGGAATTCTTAGCCTATTACACAAATGAGCTAAGAATTTCCATCCCTAAATCAACCAGCTTAGCAGCCCCAGGTAGTACTGCCATAAATATATTGCCAGCCACATCCAGAATCTGTGAAAACGCTGAGGGCTCTTCATTTTCAGCTGTTTCAATCTCTTCTTTCAGTCGATTAATCTCTTCATTTAACAACTCAAATATCTCTTTAAATCTTTCAGTAAGTGGTTCTTCTCGGACCTATGAAAGTAAAAGAGCCTACTTTTGAAAATCCCCAATTATAAAGAGTCAGAGTTTTGTATTTAACAATTTCATTAGTTAAACACATTTACATGTTTCTAGCATCTTAGAAACTCTTTGATGAGTTTGTTAGACATTTCCAGATGACTGGATCTGAATGGTGGGAGTATCCATAATTTATACCATTGTGACATTTCCTCAACACCATCTCACTGGATGTGGGGAGGAATTTCGTTTCAGCACAATGAATCCCCTTTAAGAGGGAATGCAGGTTTAATTCTAATGGATTCCCCTTTCCACTGATGTAGCATGGCCATGCTCATCTAGCAAATAATAGGGACCACTGACTCTGTAGAAAAGGCTTATTGTCAAGCTCCAGGTTGGGACAAGGAATATATTTTACTTAGGTTGTACCGGATGAGTCAGGCAGATACAGAAACAAATGGAGCAATTTGATTTCATTCAGTATCATTTCATATCAAGGCAAATATGATACTTTCATCCAGATGGATCTATTTCGGGGCTTTTGATGGTTGTGCCGAGAATCCTAAGGACGGGTGGACTAAGGTCCTAATTAATTGGGGCACAGTGAGACCATCCTATAATCACCACAAACAGCAGCCTGGCACCATGGGGGATGTCATGTGTACTCTCCAAAGTCTAACCTGACAGAAAATGCTGAAGTCTTGTAGACTTACAGGCTTCGGTAGAATTCATGTGTATTTGAAATTTAAATGAAATATATGCCTTTTGTGCTTGCTTCTGGATTCTTGACTGGGCTTAAAATTTTGGCCCTTCCCTAACTGAGGAACTGGCATTGTGCCTCAAGCACTGCCAAGCTTCATTCAGACTCACCTTCAGCTTGTGACTCAGCATCTTT